TGGTCGTTTCCCTACTAAGACATCACAATTAGAGAAAGAGTTTGTAAATGTGCTGATAGGCTCTCTTATTGACTTGGTTTAGGAAACCGCGTCCAGATGCGTTGTGCTTAAGGTCAGATTCGCTAATTTACTTTATGCAGTCTCTTTTTAAATACTTCAGAGTTTTGCTACAAGCAAGCTATGTCTTTTTACAGAGTGCATGTGTTTTTCCCAGTGCTGACCGCACTATTCTGTTGTCAAGCCTTTAACTACCTTATCGGGATCCAGGCGAATATTTTAACAGTAAAATTTTAGAAACATCGGGAGATATCCGGTTACTGTTCGAAATATTGTGTTCTATTACGTTTTTTTTTCTGGTTCAGGTTGTTAAGTTCTTCATTAGGATCCTAACTATCCCCGTCGACTATATTTTATGAACCACCAGCTGTTTGTCATAATCGAGGTAAATTAAAGTGTGCCACTCTTTGAAAGACCAATAATTAAAAATATCGATACAATGATGGAAATCGTCGAGTGCGACCGTCATGTGAACAGTGTTTCGCTTGCCCCGGAGCATATTGCATAATAAACCGTTTGGTACCCTTTGAGTAAGGATGGATACAAAAATGTCGTTGCTTATATATATTGTATGTGAAGTTGGGTCTATGCAACCCGAACTGACTCGGACTTCTGGCCCATTTTTTTTTGTTTTGATGATCTTCCACGTTCTTTATTTCTCACATCTAAATCATTATCTATGAACCGTTGAAAGCAGCTTTTGCATGTTACTTCTGATAGAGCATGATCACTATATGCCTCGACAAGCATTCGATGCGACTCTGCTGCACTTTTCTTCAAATGGAAACAAACAATTAATACTTTCCGCAAATCATCACTTTCCAATACCAAATTTGACATTTTCAACACAATGAAAAAATATGCTGTAGTTTGTTCAATGACTGTAAGGTTATTGAATATGTGTGACAGATGTCATGCCAACCAAACAGAAAAAAAATTATGGCTCGTTCAGAACAAATGTTCCCTGCCAACACATTTATTTCTTAACGCTCACTTCATACCGTTACCGGGTATTTTGTTTGAAAAAGTTAATAATTAATTTAATAAACAGGTGCAATCTTAGTGAAATGGTCTCTACTAAGCACTTAAGCAATCTTCTGGCTCTCTGTATCTATATTCAGATTGAAAAAATTCAAAAATACAAACATATATGACTGACCATATATCAAGTAAAAATTAGTTGTGAAGTTGGTGATTGAGCCGTTTATTTTATAATTAATGTCTGTATGCGCCACACAACATTTTACAGCAAAAAAAAATTATTGCTGCGCTATCGTGGCAATAAATTGAAATGGAAACTATATTGTGCGACAGTAAAAAGTTCACATTGTTTTCAATATTTATGTAATACGTGTAATAAAAAATTTATTATTTTCGCCGAAATTGAAAGGCAAGCTTTTCATCAGCCAGACCAATATTGTGGCTATTGCAATTCGTGCGAAAGTGTTCTCTACTTTTGTATGAGTGAATGTGTCTAAATTTATTTTTCGTGTCTATATTTATTTACACTCATGTGTGAGCACATGAAAATTTCTTAGAAATTCCACATTAATCGATTTCATCGTTAAATATGTTGCGATTTTATGGTTATGCATTTCAATGAGCGCGTCTGCGAATTTTATTAGCGTTTCAACTGGCGCTAATGAAGTTTGGAGGAAGAAACATTTTTGCAAGGAAATACATAAATATTTACATGCCTGAATATGTATGTCTACTATGTAGTTTTAAACACTTGTGCTACATGCCACAGTGCAAACAAATATGCCACATTCACTTAAATGGCGCGTAGGCGCATGCAAGCTCATCTACTCGTATATATGTATACATATGTATGTATGGATGTGTGTCAATATACATATTTATGCATGCGAATATTAAACGATGAGCTATAAAATATTTAAGTGCAATGCTACTACCACCGTTTCTACTCCGGTTCCGCGCATGCAAAACACTTTGTTCAAATCGTCCACTTAAGCGCCACTGAACTTGAGTAGCGCAGCGTCCTACAGATGAACGCACTCCACAATTGGCGGCCAATGAAATCGCAACTTGTGGCCATGCAACGGTTTATGCACATTTGTTGCATACACTACAAACGTATGGCATGTGCGTGCGTGTGTGTAGAACTTTGCGGACGCAAGTTTTCAATTGCTTGGAATTAGCGCTACAAGCAGTACCAAACAAAGAAGTCAATAATTTGCCCTTGTGGCATGCAACAGTATTAACGGCGCTCATGTGTGTACTCGCAGCGGCAATAAATAGCCAGACTGGATGTTGGCTGTGCCACAGTTGGCAGACAATTGCATCAAGTGGGGGCAAAATGAAAAGAAATAAAAGTAATAGGCGATAAAAAACGGCACATTTTGTTGTTGTGTACGGACACATGCATGTTGTACATACATATGTACAGTTGTATAAGGCATGTCCTCGTGCATGCTGTTGCAGCTAAATTGCCATGGTTGTTTGTGTTCGCGAACCCTGCAGTAAATCAAATTATTTCTCGATCGACAGAAACTACTTAAATTGGTGGCAATGCTCGCCTGTACTTAATCCCAATGAAAATTTTACAGCTGTTTTGACCGTTTAATTGAGGAAATATTTCATAAAAGTCAAAAGACATTAGAAGAAGATCTTCATTTTGAGCTTTGCAAGCGGATAAGTACTTTGGCCGAAAGCAGAAAGAGGTTTTTGTTCGTTTCAGTCGTGAAGTCGAGTCCCGATTGACAAGTGCGGTAATGGGTTTGCCAATTAAGCGCCTTAAAAGTAGCGCGGCCACCCTCAATCCTCTTTAGTTACTAAACATTTCCGCAACAAAAGCTTGTAAAGCTGCAGCTTTTAGCTCGAGTGAAGTCGGCAAGCTCGAAGCCCATTTAGTGCACCCCAATACTTCTCAAGCGTTTTCGTATACTAGTTATTCAAAGCAGGATTTCTTATCTGTAATCTTGATTGTCAACAATGATGTGCGGACCGAGAATCTAATTTTTTAACGAAAAGCGATGTTTGCTACTATTTCTACTGTGACGATCGCCCAGTAAAAAGGAATCCGCCCGAACATATTATGTTCATATATTATCTAATTTCTACTGGAACAAACTGAGCTACATTTAAACCGTTTGGCACCAGTTCAAGGAGCATGGCGAAAAGGTTTTTATAGTGTTTTAACCGAACCATAGCATAATTGAATAAACTTAAATATTCAAAGGTCTGCACACAGTAATAAATACATATAAAAATGTTTGTAAGCTTGTGGCGGTCTGTTGTTGAATAAGTGGACGTGTGGCATGTGGCACATCGTAATTTGAAATGCACACCTCCGCCGCAAACTCAAAAGATTTGCAACAAACGTACACATATGCCGGAACGCGACGTTTCGTCGTGACGCATGGCCAGAATATTTTAAGTCTCGATTTCGCTACAATGAAGCATAGAACAACACTGCAAGCCACAACGGTCCGTTTTAGTCGGCATAATGTGGTTGACTGTTTGAAAGGAACTCACATACTCGTACAACATATGTTTTGTTACGTGTACTCGCATTCTCGTGCCGATAGTTTACCATACCTGGAAAGTCGTAAATTTACGGGATAATAAAGTTGTTATGTGTTGCGGTCATGCCATGATGCCCGCCAATAATCTACTGACACGGTACAATTTCCGCAATAGAGAACTTGCGGCATATCAATACAGTAGCCTAAACAGTAGCGGTAGCGGTAGCAGCAGCGATTGTTGGGTCAACAAATAGAATGGCTGCTATCAATAGGTATATCAAACAATTCGCATAAAACTCGGTTATAGCCTATTGAAATTGCTTCAAAGAAAATTAATTATTTTGCAGACTAGTAAATAGTACAAAAATTGGCATAATAAAACCAACTATCGTTGCCACAATGATTTTTGAATGCAATGAAATTGGCACTACCGTTCATTTGCTTGAAGATGAGTCTATACAGATGAACTTTCGGAGGAATATTTAACTACAGCTATGATAACATCAGTGCTTTATTGTTGTAGCTCTTTCGGAGAATTTGATTTCCTTGTAACAGTACTTAATATACGATTCCGATAAGGAATAGTTTTTTTTTTATCAATATAGCGATAGCTTCGACTCGCCACTTCCTCTGCTCCTTAAGTTTAGGCTTAGCCAAAGCACCTGGACGTGTATCTCATTGAATAATGTACTCGTTTATATTCGTCAAAGTAGGACTTCATATAGATTATTGTGTGGTTTAGGTTGCTCTAGTGAGATTGTTTTCAGATGCTGACTATATATAATGAAATTGGGTGCCATATGAATTGAAGCAGAAATTCTGCATGACTGCTACCAAAAGAAGTAAAAACAGCGGTTGGGAAGTTTTGTCTCACTCCCTTTAGCCCAGACTGATGCAGAACGCTCTACTGGAATACGGTTCACATCGGAACAGGGCGTCGAAAATAGGTTGATTTGTTCTTGGCCGCCAAGCCGGCTCAGTTCTTTCTCAATGGAATCCACAAATTGTAAGAAAGATGGGAAATTGTTATGCTAGCTTCAGATGGACGTTACTTGGAATATCACGACTGTACATGTTTTTCTTAAATAAATGTGCAACTTTTGAAAAAATAGTTTTCTATAACTGTATACATATAGAACTTCCAATTAAGTCGTTTAAGCCAAGTCATTTTCAACAGCAAAATAAAATTGTGATTTCTTTAGCACAAGTCAACGGATGTTTCGGAGGTTGAGTATCTGAGGTGAAAATGTTTTTCGAGCAAATTTATTCGAAGCTTTACATCGAAATAAATATCTTAATTAAGACATACGAGTATTACATTACCCTTAAGCTCTTTTTTTTTTGAGCCATGATGACTAAAAAATATGTACCTTCTATTGAAGGAGTAAAAAAACTATTGATTTTCATAAACTTCATTTAATAACCTTACATCGTTGCATTTTATTTTCATTACAGAATCGCCCACCCAACTGGCCATCGAGCATTATAATCATATGAAAGTGGCCACTAGATGTCGCCGTCCAATACCGCGCGTTATACACGTTTCCAACTACACTTTCAAAACCTATCATCCCTCCTACACTATTTTGTACCGCTGTGGCGAGGATACGGGCTGCTGTCGCTCGATGGGGCAGACCTGCACTGTCAAAGAGTATGAGAATGTGCCACTCTATTTCATGGTAAGTGAAACTCACCACACCTTTATTATATGCTATATTGTATAGATGCATTTAATATGTCTTGCCATAAATTTTCTAGTAAATGCCTGCATATAAACATATGACAGTTTTCGTACAGCAATTTTCTCATTAATACAACAATACATGGAGATATTGTATGTATGCATAAATATTATGAGTGCCACAAATGTGCAGGCAAGAAGCAATTAACAATAATTTTGATAGTTAAGCGCTCGGAACAAAAGACAATCGACAACAGCAACCACAAATTATATTGACTATCAATTTGCTAAGCGTTGAAACCGCGATTGCTTGTGTACTACGGCATATTTACTCGCTGGTAAACTCTTACGCTTTGCCTGCCGGTGTTTTTGACTAAAGAGCTATGCGCATGCGCAGAGAAAGTGGGCGATAAATGTCATAATGCCCGGCGTTTTCAATTAAATATTTTTTTGACACGATTTATGACAAATTTTAACTTATGCATGTTGTTATTACTCAATAACGTATCCTTAGTTGTGGCAAACCGTTATATTTTTATAATGTCAGACTTTGAAATTCGACTATTTTTCAAGTGAAATTGAAAGCCGGTACATACGCAAATGCATTAGCTAACTTAGTAAGTGCTTCTTGTTACAACATTTCGATGTAAATTTCAATACATACATATTGTATATAAGATAAACTGATGGCAAAAATATAGGAACACTCCCGAGAGAAGAAAAGTAATAAATAATATATACAGAGCAAAATACGTACTCTTATGCTGAACCTTCCAACTGTCTAATAAAACAAAACAAAAAAACTTCGAACTTCGATTGCACCGAAGCTGTTATCGGTCAGGTTACTTTATAGCGACTTTAGTAGCCCGATCCGAACAATATGTTCGGAGATTGCAACCTTGACTTGGGCAATAATTTGTGCTACATTTTTGAAGATATCTTGTCAAATAAGAAACTTTTCAATACAAGAACTTGCTTCTGATCGGTCAGTTTGTATGACAACTATATGTTATAGTGGTGAAATATCGAATATTGGTAATTACAGAATAAACCAAATTATTCGACTAGCAAAGCATATTGTCGACTTCGATTCACCACATCTTCTTTGCTCACTAAGTTTCAGATCTGCACTCTGGTTAAAGAGTTTACATCGGAATACAGCAACAAACTAAATACTTTTAATAAAGGATAAGATAAATTATTAAAATGATATAATCGCTTATTTTTCTCTCTATCTTTTTTATAATACCATACTATGTTATCTATACCAGTTTCCGTTCGGTTCATTGTATACTCTGGTATAATTTAATACATGGTTATGTAAATTTTATTTATTTTATGAACTCTGTGCGTAAAAAAAATACTAATTTATGCTATTAAAAGAATCCTTTTTAGAAAAGTTTTAAAATTTATGAATATTACTTAAAATAAATTTTATATGAAATATATGTACAGAATTTCTTAGCATAATTGTGCTAGAAGTTTTGAATTCAATACGTTTCTTCATAAGCGTGAATGGACTCTGATTAATAAATGAACTTTTTATTCCCAATTCGACCTTTATATAAAATAACAGTAAGTATAGTTTAACTAAATGCTATGCTCTATCAAAATCTTTGCGAAATAAAATATTTTTGGGTTGGTAGAATGGTTATTGCCCGTCCAAAGTTGTCCAACGTATCTGTAAATACGCAGTTGGCCAACACGGATATAGTTTTTTATGATATATTACTGTGTGTTATTATATCGATGGAACGTCAAGATCAAAGTCGGTCCGAAGACCTTTCAGCCTATGTAGTAGAAAAAACAAACACAGTAAATAGAGAGTAGTGGAGATAACCAAGGTTTTGACAAATTATTTAAACTTTATATACTTATATACTTTATTATAAATATTTTCATAATTCTCGGTAGCTAGTCCAGTCGACCATCTTTCAACCACATTAACAGAGTGTACAACTACTACTTAAGTTGTTACGAGTTTATCGCATAATGACATTTCTATGAATTATCAAGCAATAGAAGGAAACAGTTGACTGTAACTGTTCACGTATTCCCTTGAGTAATTAATCTTAATGGTAGAAACTCAAGTTGAACAGAGTTATACGCTCAAATTCCCAGCGGAAAGTTTCCCTTACAGAACAACACAGAAAAAATATATTTGTTTGTTCAAAGAGCGCCATATTTATTTACAATTGTATATATCATTTTGAAGAGATTTTTAAACTTCCTCTATTTGATAAGATCTATATATATAATTGGGGTTCTCTTTTTCATAGATTATCGTTATGGTCTTTTCAAACAAATAGAGGAACATTTAAAACCTCTTCGAAATGATTTCTACATCAATTATTTTCTCGGTAGTAAATATTTAAACTTTGAGGTTTAAAATCACTTATGTACATTCTAAACATAAACACTGGACTGTCAGTGGAAAAAAGGGACTTTTGCAGCATACATTTGGACTTTGACTTGATCAGGCCATGAATCTTCCCACATTCTGTTTAAAAACAAAAAAACTTTGTTTCCATGGCGAATGAGATCACTTGCTTGATCAACTTTGAATAGTTTCGACTTTGACATTATCGAGGTTCGACTTTGATTAAATTTTTATCTAAAAGACTTCCGTCAGAAGAGAATGAGTATTGAAATTGACTTAATCGAGGCTTGAATATGGTCATCTCTCTCTAAGTCTTCTTATCAGATGAGTATCTCATCTAAAAGTCTTCTATCGGCTAATAGTCAGGCCTTCAGGACTTAGGACCTTAGCCGTTAGCTTTTGTAAGCTTTTTAGAATACTTCTCGAGAGAAATTTCTTAAAAATATTGCTAAATTTACTTATGAATTTTGAAAGCTTAGCTTGAGGGAATGGAAGCTCAAAATTTGTTTTTAAAAGAAAAAAACTAAAATTAACACTTTTTAGTCCACACCATGATCACTTTATCATTCCTCTTTATAGCTGCAATAGAAAGCGTTTATTATTTTCTATTATTAATCTCCTCACGATAACTCAGCGAGATTATCTTTGTACTTTTAAGTGTTTGGGATTTATATTTATTTTTACGAGAGTTGATTTTATCTTGTTTTAATTTCAATGGCAACTACAGAGCATTTAAAGTGATTATACAACTGTTTTATTATAGGAAATAATTTTATTTTTTTCTTTTACAAATTGCCGGTCAACCGGCGACGGCGCCGATATTTATAAAGCTTCAGGGTCTTCAGGTCATTGGTCTCCTCCTTGGCGACCTCGCCTTTAAACATTCGTATGTTAAGAATACCCCAATTAGTTGTCTGTATGGTGCAAGTTCATTTAGCATACATACATATATAACAACAACAGCAGAACAAATCCGCTTAAATACATCCTTATGTACTATGTATGTATATTTGAATATCAATTCTTCTATACAATTGCTTGTTATGTTATGCCAAAGGTGCCCAACCGAGGTGTGTTGCCGGCAAATCGTGGCACCAGCGACCCATAAATTTGGCGATAAAAAACTCCAATTTGACTGCAATGAAAAACAAGCCGCCGTGAATAGGAATGTAAACAAAAACAAAAATTAAACCAGAACGATTGCAGCAAAAGAAATGCATGCGAAACAATGAATGACTCAGGCGAAAGAAATTTCGAAGGGGCGTTGCACTTTCATATATTTTTTTTAGACGTCTTGCTTTTTTGCCGGCATAGTTTAGCCGTTAAAACTTGATAGTCATACGGATGCACGTACAAACAAACAGCAAAAACACACGTGCGCTTATGAACATAAATAAGACTGTCATTCATAGAATTAATTCAATTACACAAATATATTGTACATATATATTTTTGTATACATGGTATACACATACATATAACTATAATATCACGCTACAGATGTTGTTTGTTTGTTATTTTATTTGCAGGTAGAATTGGTGAACTCCAGCAACTCTCGCAAGCATCCCGAAGTCTTGATGCTGCGCAATGACACCGAATGTCACTGTATAAACCGTACGTACTTGACCTCTACGCCGGAGTTCATCACACGCGACAAACGTTCCAATCTCGCTTATAGGCGACACACACGTTCGCACATTGCGGCTTTCGATAGTTCTATGGAGGCGGCGAACCAATTGGATCAACGCAGTGACCTTGAATATGATAGTGAAAAGAGTCGAGAGGCAGTCTGTCGCTGTCCCAGACACTTCGATGTGTTCCAAGAGGATATTAGATGGGAGTCAACGCAGCGGCTTCATGAATCACAATCGAATGTTGCACGCGCCTACAATTGCCGTTGTGACTGTGCAGACGCCAATGCATCGTGTCAGCGCTTCAAGAATGGTGATGAGGGCTTTGCCATGGATGATCGCAGGTGAATACATATTTTTGGCATATTTCTAAAACTGTCCAATACCAAGATTCCCGGGCGCTTTGGTATTCCGCGCTTTATTCAGCTATTAGTCCGGTCTTGAATAAGAGCTGTACATATAGGTAAACCGAGGGCCAAAGATTTGTAAAATCCTTTAGGCAGCAAAGCCATAAAAAGATCTCCAGGCTCTTTGGCATTTAGAAGGCTTTATAAGCTTGGTAAATAGCCTAAGTTACGCTTTTCCGCCGTTATAGGCGAGTTTGTTGGAATCAAATATTTAAAAAATAGTGACAATTTCACATCGTTGTTTTTATAACCTGAACAGTTTGCCACCAAGTTTGTAACAGCTAAAATGAAAGGTCGGAGACCTTATAAAAATATATAAATATGTACATATATTGTATACATATAAATGATAAGCATGAGAGCTGAGTCGATTTAGCTATGTCCGTCTGTCTGTCTGTGTATCCGTATGTTCGTACGTAATCTGTATATACGTGAACTATTCCCTCAATTTCTGAGATATCGATCTGAAATTTTTCACATGTCCTTTTTTTTCTTTGCCCATATGTCGAACCGTTGATATCGAACCATTACAATATATAGTTGTCATACAAAGTGATCGATCAAAATCAAACTCTTGTATGGAAAGCTTTTTTATTTGACGAGATAACTTTTCTATATTTGGCATGAATTATTATTCAAAGCAATCGTACAATTTCCGAACATATTGTTCAGATTGGACCAGTATTGTATATAGCTTTCATACAAACTACTTTTTTATTCGTGAAGGGACTTACTTAAGTATAGCTACGGTGCAACCGAAGTTAACGTTTTATTTTGTTTTAGTGTGCATTTGACAGATAAATTCTTGGGTTGTAATGTCATGAACGTGGATTTTGAGAACGTTTTTGCTTATAATTGTCAAGAATGAGGATGAAAAGTTTAAGGCACGCATCCAAATAAACGAAACGAACTCTAAATTGTTATAGTAACGTAACGGACGAAACTGTCAAAATATTTTTTCATATCATTATTTTTAAATTATTATGAAAATTTTGCCGTCTTTCTCTATCTCTAATCGTTCTCCCTCACATGACGAATCATGTCATAAACCCTCAATCCTTTCGTTTATTTTTTAACGAAGTCTCTCTCTATGATTGTTATGAAAAGTGTTCATATACGAATTCAGAAGGTCCAAATCTAATTTTAAGTTCAACTTAAAAGTAGAAATACAATCGGAGGTTACACTTTGATTCTTTTAAACATTCTTTCTTGTATTTAAAAATAAAATAGTCAATAATAAAACACCTATTTTACTTCTTCTCATCTCAATCTAGATGCATTGCGGAGAGGACATGCAGTGTACCCAACTGCTCCTTTGGCATTTATAATGAACAAATCGGTCGTTGTCCGCGTTCGAACAGGAAACTCAAACGTCACAATAATGGCTTCGGCTAAATCGTTAGTATACACATATTTTTACTGTTAATGTTTTCAAACAATTATGTTTAAAAAATAAATTATATAGTTGTAAACGTGTATTTTAAAGAAATTTTGTAAATATTAATATAAGTATTTTTTTAAGATATTTTATTTGAATGTCAATTATGCGAGTATTACTTATGATTGCATTTGCTTACTTAAATATAGACTTAAGATTAAAATATGTAATAATAAAATATATGATATTGCTTTCGCCGACTGAAATGTAAAGCCATATTGAATTTTCAAATTGAAATAAGTAATTGTGTCCCACTTAAATGAAATGAATTTAAAACAATTATATATAAATATTATACATATGTAATGTAAGATTCATATTATATGTCATCTTTTTAAGTATTTAATAAATGTAATGATGCTTAAATAACAATTGGTCATGTAGAAAAAATTTTAAATTGAAGTCATTAAATCTTCCGGATTCTTTAAGGTTTTTGGGTTACATGTGTCGTTATCGCCATTGTAGCAGATTTTCGGAATGCCGTTTAATACCCCTAATATATTAACCGAAAATATGAGGAAAATTTTTCTACTAGTAGCCATGTCTGGGAACTCGATTTCACACACCATACTTGTTATTCGTACTCAATCGTATATTCGTAAGAAATCGTGTTCACTTAATTTACAAGTAATTAAAATATCACACATTTTCACCAACCTAAACGGTTTGAAGTCAGGTGGAAAGTCGGTTATTATATAGGATATATTGGGGCACAGAAAAGGAAGCGCTGATTGCACTAATTTTTGGCATTGCTCAGATATACTTAAGAACCTATTTTCAATAAATTTTATAAATATATAAATACAAACATATATATGGAGTAAAGTCAGCCGGACATTTCAAAATCGTATATATCAGCTAGTTTTCAACATCATATGGGGTAATATACTTTCGGTACATTGAACCTATTAGAGAGCGGCGCCACGCCCATTTTTTCCAAATTTTAAGCCCACAGGTGTCGCTTGCTAAGGATTATGGGAAGGAACATGTGTACAAAGTTTTATTATGATATCTTAATTTTTATTCAATTTACAGCTTGCACGGTCAACCGGACGGGTGGACGGACACAGCCACTCACGTGGATTTCAACTCGTCTCGTCATCCTGATCACTTATACTTGCATATACATAACCCTATACCTAATTCGATTATTTTTATGTGATACAAACAACCGTTAGGTAAACAAAAGTATTATACTCTGTACTAACATGTTGCAAGAGTATAACTAGTCAATATGACAGAAAATAAACAATTGTTTTTATTCTTTATTTAGTGTTATCAGCGTATACAAAATTCAATTAATGACTGAATTCTGTCTAAGCATATCAAGCCTTTTCTGAGTACTCAAGGTCCACCCTAATCCATAAAAATGCATATACATACATATGTATAAACAACTTTATAAATACATATACATATAAACAATTTATAAACTCTGTATCGTCGATTTAACCGAAAGATATTCAATTTTTATATAGTCGTAAAAGCAATCAGTTTCAATTATCACTTTATAGAAATTCAAAAAATTCGCAAAACAATAAAAAAAAAGAGAATTCGGGTGTTGCGGACAATTGCTGCGCAAAATTAACTGACTTTCAATTTTAAATTGTCTGGCTTACAATTAGCCCACTATTGTGGCGAGTAGCATTCACAGATCGTTATCGAAAATTTAACGAGCATCTAATATTCGCTCGACCCAATTGAACGCGACATTCACATATATTCAAAATCATATACAGACACATGTGAAGATACACAAAACGATCGTCACGTGGGTCAATGTTATCAACAAGGCGACCTGCAACGATAATTTTTTAAAAGTAACGGTTGCATTCCGTTAAGCAATGAACATTTCTAAATACAGCTGTTAGTGCTGCCTGGTAACTCTACTGATACATAAATATATTAGTCTCTTTGGTACATTTCTTGGCTATATCTTATTAATTCGTCTAAAAAATGAGAAGACGGGGAGAGTCTTCACGTTTTAGTCATTTTTCGACAATTTATATGAAAGTAGTCGGGAACGAACTGGCTGACGAACTTGCCTACAACGCAGCGGCTTATACTGGGACCAGAACCGAGGTGGGTCCCCTCAACATTAAGAGTTATTCTGTAAGGAGGAGAGAGTGAACAGGGATATATATTGGTAGAAATGTACAATCTATTGTTAGGTTATAACCTCACAAGTTTCAAAAAAATTGTTAACCTTCTCAGCGACAAATTTCAGCGACTAGTGGTGCTTTACACTGGGCATTATATACTCAATAAGCAGCTTTTCAATAAGGGTATAGACTCTTGTACAAATAGCTGGCAAACTCCTCAACACCTGTTTCTATATTGTGTAGCTATCTGCAGATGCTGGAATAAAGACCTGCAATCTATATATCCCAATAGACAGCACATTGCTTCCCGTGTGAAAGAGGAGAAGGTAAAATCGATCTCAGGTTGCAGTGCACATCTCCATTTTATTATAATTTAAATATAATGTTATGAGAGCATTGTGTTCCTTTGTGGAAAGTAAGTGCCAGGCAAATTCACAATGCGGCCATGAGAGACTATAAATTGATGATTCTGAGCAGATCTGTTGAATCGTAATAAACTTGAAATTTTACCTCGATATGTGGTAATGGATGAAAATGTGACTCCATTCTTTTACCCCGGAGTCCATTCAAAAGCGATATAGGTGGACTGTTAGCGATGAAATGAACACCAAACCTGAAAAGACGTACTCGTCCTTAATAAAGTTTGGCGTCTTTAATTTATGATGGGCATGGAATAATTTTCTCGGCTGTCTTCGAAAAGAGCATAAACCATCGCTATTTTAGAGGGGTTTTGAAAAGTTTGTAGAACGAAATCACGGAAAAGGGTCACATCTGAAGGCGAAGAAAGGTCGGTTTTATCGAGATTATGACTGTGCTACAAATGTGTATAAACATGGCAATATTTCATACTCATTTCATACATCAATCGCATTCCCTGGGTCTGACTATGAGCGTATTTCCCTTTTCTCAGAGAACGCCCGTTAAATAGATATTTATCGACGATACCTACACTGAATAACATTTGAGGCAAAAGAAATATCACTGTAATCGGTATCGATGGCAAATAAGTTAAATAATAACATCGAATTTTATAGAAACATTTATTTGCTTGAAACAGATTCGGACCTTTTGCTTGGATGTTTATATTTCCAACATAATTTCACACAACTGTTTTTAGTTTGAGAACCTTAAGATTGAGACCAAACCATTAGAAACAGTTTTCAGAACGCTGAAATGTTTATAAACACTAAAAAATTAAACAAACTTTTCAACAGTCTAATTAACGAATTCATTATTATATGTAAAACTACTTAAAAATAAATAAATGTAAAACTAAATGTAATATAAATATAAAAGTAAAGAAATTATAAATGCTTTTCAGCAATAAATTGTACGCTCTGTAGATGCCACTTATACTTATTTAATGCAATATACGAGATTCATTGGCGCCACCAGCTCCACCACCACCGCCGCCAGCGCTGCAATTGCAGAAGCGTGTGGCGCGTTGCGTTGGCGACGGTGTTGACATGTGCAGCACTTCCTGCTTAACGGTATAACCACGTAACATATTGTCGCCGCTGCAGCACGTGCAAGGCTCGCTCATGCCGCAATTCGACCTGCCCATCTTACACGCCACCTGCGGATTTCCGCCCTCATCGCCATCGAACTTAACACAACGTGTGGTGGGACATTTCTAAGAAAATAAAAAATATGGAAATGTGCAGCTTGACAACAACAAAAACAAGAAATGCATTGGGACGCACCACAACCACCATGGGACGCCCATCGTCGTCATCGCAAGCATCATTGTCGCAAGTGCAACAGTCGAATTCCGCTTGTTTGCGTATGATATACTTTGCCAGACAGCAAATGATGAGCTAAAAGAAATCATGAATTATAGCTAACATCCATTGTGAACTAATGTTGAAGGAAGCTCACGTCCAATTTGAAGGCGATCAGCACCAGCGCAATCAGCACATAGAGTATCTCCCACATTTTGTTGGTGAACAGTGGCAAACAGCCTTCGGTGTTGATCTGCGACAGCGTCAAGTAAGGTATGCGACTGTTGTCCGTGCGCGGTATGTAATTCTCGAAGCAGGTGGCACATGTGTGCTTGCAACAAGCGTACGGTGCCAAAGCTGTCTCACTGCGCAAGTTATCAACACAATCTTTTTTATTTTAATCGAACCCTATATTTCATCCAACACCTCACCTGCTCGTCGATTGACACTGCGTTGCTTCCGCCGGCATCCAGGACGCCTTCATCCAATCCTTGTAACTGTGCACGCCACAACATTCCTTGTGATACTGTAAACCATCCCACAGCAGTTTCCACTCGGGGCATGTATAATACAGATCTATACCCTTAAGCAGCGACATTTCCGCCGTGTTCTCCAAGGCATCAGCGCAAGTGATCAGAGACCAAATGGTGCCGAAACCACAGAAGACGACCACAAAACAAAAGAACATCCAAAGATTAAGCAGTAAATTGACGTTGGGTGAACAGCGCCGCGACCACAGCGAGGACCACATGGCAATGCTGCAGGCATACACCACCATTAATTGGAACCCGAGTATGTAGGTGTTGAAAAATTGTCCGCCCAGCATTTTTCTCTCGACATCTGCCATGTAAGCGCCCAGTATGCGTTGATATATGGCGGTTACGATTATAATGGCCAATCCGAGAAAAATTTCCAACAACAACAGCATGGTGAGATAGACGCGCGCGCGACCGAACGGCTCCTGCATTTGGGCATCGTTCAAAACAAATTCATAAAACTTAAAAGAAAACTCTGTTTCTGTCACAGAAAGTCAGAATCGAGAAGCCAAAGCGTTGCCTTCTAAATTTTTTTTATTTTATTATTATTATATTTTTTTTTAAATTTTTATCGAGAAAAGAAAAACTGCTGTTAAATTATAATATTCGATTCCTTTTTTTGATATTAAAGGTTTGGCAGTTACGTCCTTAGATCGGAACGAAGTTCATAAATCAAACATAAATATGTAGGTATGTTTAAAACTTATCTAAATATGCCTACAATAAAACTTTATAGAAGTTGTTAGTTGCTAGAGAATCTCTTTTGCACTGGCCATAATGATAACTATATCCTAAGGTATGTTGTTATAACCTAGTACATTTCGTAATCAATTTTAGCGTCTTTTAACACTCCACCTTTATTATCAAAAATTGCCGAGTTTACTTTTACGCACTCTTTGGTTCAAAAAGTGACCGTTAGTTGTTCTACCAGAGAACTTTGATTTACTCCATTTACGTTCCCTGGTTCTAATGCCGTAACCTCATCCAAAACGGGCTTGTTGCGGCCCAGAAGCAATATATATAATGGAGTCTATATTGAGTTTCTATACCATAGATATTTTACTGAAACTTCAAGCCATCTAGTGTAGAAAATCTGACAGTACGCTTATCGAAGGCACTTTTCTCTTAGGTGCTTGAATTAGCTATACAAACTTTACAATTCAGCAGAATGCTGCTGCAACATGAAGCTTAGCAACAAGCTGCTTTACGTGTTGAGAACAGTATACAGTAGGGAATAGTTGAAATTCCTGTAATTGGGTCCTCTGTCGGGCGAAATGAAGACTGATTATTTAGCGTATACACTTAGCTGCGCAAGGGCGTCATCTGTCGGGTGATAGTACAGCTGTTACAGCATGCCATCTGTGGTAAATCTTTATGAATAGGTTCGATTGATTGGATCTAAAAGTGCTAGGACTGCGGATGTTGGAATATATAGCTTTTTTAAGCAACCTCTTTGCTATTACGTTTGATCTAATATTTAAGTTTTATGAATGAAAAAATTAGTATGTTTGCTTACGGTTTAGTGAATAAAATTTATGGTACCGACACATTTGTTCACCAATTCCGTATGTAATGTCATGAACTCAACCCCTCTGATCCTCTTAGTTTGTGTGAGCGACGAAAATTTTAAAGTGTTAACGGCCCCTTCTTAGGCGACAAATCTAATTTTTTCGAGCCTATTGCTGGCATGGAAACCTTTCTCCAAGAATTATAGGACCCTCAAATTTACAATTGGATGGGGTAGATTAAGTATCATATGTACATATATAGGTATATATATTTGTATATAAGTTTTAGTAGTAATCTACAATTCTAAAGTTAAAATTTTGCAAAGAAAATAACTCAGCATTAAACCACAATTCATACAACCATGCGCAGAATGAGACTTGCCGTTAGCATATCTCTACATTTTTTACAAGATGAGAATATTTTGATGTAAAAAATGTTTATTTTAAACTTTTGATGGCATTTGATTTTGTACATTACATTATATTATTTTATATTATATTATACATCTCATCCTAATTTTTTTTTAAACTTATATATGTTTAATTTTACTTAAATAACTACAAGTGCGAAATAAATATAAATTAAAATTTTTTTTGTTAAAGTTATTGATTTTTTGTGCCTTACTAAATTTTCTTATAAAAAATAATGTTTGTTGCCAATTTAGGATTTGAGTTCAAATTTAAGTGTGAAACTTTATACTCATATATACATATATAGATCTTTGAAGTCATACAAGTTATTATGAAAGATACCCTCATTTAAGCTATAAGTCAATGAGCATCAACTGAGTGCTTTTCTGACAGCAGCTCTGGACGTTGATGTGCCTTTAAATACTCAATTAAAACTATTTGTGTTCATTAAATCTGAAAGTATATAAAACTTAACAACATCTTAAGTAATTTCTATATCAAAATCATGTTCTTGTATGAAAGCTTTTTTTATTTGTGAAGGGTATTCTAGCTTCGGTACAACTGTAGTTAAAACCGATCAGTCCGAGCTCGTTTATCATTCCAATTTTTTCAAGTAAAGTCTAAGATCACATGAACAGGGTTGTCGCTATACGTTTTAAAAATTCATATTTTTCTCGATCCTTTTATTTATGTTATAAAGCAGTACAGGTCAAGTAAAAACACTTCCGATCGTATTGTTGATTCCTAAAATCTCAGATGATTATTATATTTTTCAATTACTGACATAATAAAAAATATTATTTCAAAGGCAAGTGGTTGTTTCATTTTAGAGCGATCACATCTAAGAAACTTAAGGAAGTTGTTACCTTATCTATACGATTATTGAATGAAAGCGGTTTACAGACCTCGTACATGATTTGTTTGTCAATTCATAAATCGGATTCACGCCGTTTACCATTAGAGTTCCTTTAATTCAATATTTCTTTTTGAACGTTTAATATATTTCGTTGCTATTAATGAACTTTTTTTTTTCTCCGGTCAAATACAAACAATTTTTTAAAAAGATTTGATACCGTTTTATTCTTGAAATCATTTAATAATAACTTCATTCGTTTCAGTCCAATGTGGTAAGTTCTATGTTTATGTATTTGTTTCAAAGGGCTAGAATATTGTTCCGCAATGTTGCCTATCATTAAAGAAGAAGGCGCACTTATTTCACGTCAATATAATGTAAAAAGACACTCTAAGGCATTTGAGGAACTTTTTCATACTTAGGTAGGTAGGCATGTAAAGTGGCTGCCTGACCAAGCACCTAGGCCTTTAGGGGGCCCATTGTGAAACCACCGGTACTAAAATCCCCACACTCTATTATCTCCTCTCTAAACCACCCCGTGTTTCTGATGAGGTTCATCAGTAACAAAAAATTTATTTGTGCAACCTCCGAAACATCATCAAGAAACCCTCGACTGATAATTGCGATTCTTTTCCTATACAAAGTTTTGCATTCGTTTTATAATTTTCTCTTCTTCTACATCTTGACGGCTTCTACAATATTCATTGTACTGTGGTGTTCCCAGCCTACTGGCATACCTGCCAATTAGACAGCGACTTGCTACCATTCCTACTAGAGTTCTTCTGTCATTCCTTTTGAATTTTAATAGTCGGCATGTGAGGCCCATATTTCATTCACTACACGTTTGTCTGTTTGTTGAGAAAGTTAGTGATTGACTCTACCGAGACTCAGATTTATTATAACACGTTTGTGGATTAAATATCTACATACAAGTAGGCAGAGGAGTATAAATTCCCTATTTTCCGAAGTCAAAGAACAGATTTAACATTATACAATTCCCGAATGACAGAATTCAAGATAACTATAGTCTTGTCCCTTGTTGATATTTTTGACAGTCCAGTAAGCTTATGGCGTCATAAATTAAAGAAGACCAAAACTTTTATCACAATTACTATGAAATTTTGGCAGTTCATTTAAATTTTGACGTATTGAGCTGCAATCTTATACCTACTTTACCATTCTTCCCCATCGTAGCCTGATTGTTCTGCTTGTATGCAATTATTCCTTAATCCCTCGGAAATCAGTCATGCCAAATAGATTGGAGTTTTAAAATCGTAAACTAGCCGAATAACGGTAAAGAATTAATTTAGCCAAGAATTTCTATAATATAAGATTATATTAACACTTAAAATTTAAGCTTATATATTATCCATAATTCACGTTTTCACGAGGCCCATTACGACTGGCGACTTGTTGTCAATCGCACACCGGCATTCCTCAGTTTTTCTTGTTTACTTTCAATGTTGTCGCGATTCTTCTGCTGCGTCACTACCAGAGTTGTGTCGGCGATGCCGCCTGATCAAAAGCTAGTTTGCATACATATCTACATACTTCGTCATCATATCCACCAACTTGTAGGACTACGAGTATGAACTTAAGTACCTCCGCTCTTTTATATTTGCTGAATCCAGTTCTTTCTCTATTTCGAATCGCCACTATATAAGTACATACTAACGTGTAAGACTACCTGTGCGAGAGTATAATTGAATTTTATTGATGCTGTGACCATCTGTTGCACACATACATACACACACAACTATGCAGCAGTATGATCGGATTTTGGTCGCGTTCTCTTAAAATGCCGATGCTGTTATAAAATTATACGAATTTGCACGCATTATTTTAGTTCAAAGGTGTCTTTTCGCAAGAAAGCTTCGTCTTTTCGCGTTGTCTCCACAACTTTTTGGTTAATAAAAGAATTCTTTCATTCGCGAATAACGTAACAAACACAAACAAACGAATTTATACACACGTCGGTTCACGCAGCAAGCGATTTCGAGATCGTGGCATGATATAATTGATTTTCCGTTGCGTTGAAAAGTTGAAGCGAAATTCCCGGTAAACATTAATTTATAATTAGCTGTGATTAATGCGAGACAGTGTGGAAGTGTTGAAATGATCAGCAGCAATAATGGAAAATTAACCATATGCACACATACAAAAACATACAAATAGCTTGGTTGATGAATATTAACTTGTTGACCTTGAAAGCTTTCGTTTGGCTCGAACGCTACGTGCTTATATTGTTTACACATTTGCATCATAAGAAAAGAAGAATTATTATTTATAAGTGGAAGAATACCCAACGCGTTAAATAAATGGGCGGGAAGATGATTTGGGAATTCAAATTCGTGATGGCACATTCGTTCATGTAATTTTTATTTAAAGGTGTGAAAGCTTTTTAAAAGTATTTCATGTTTTCTTCTATTGGGTGATTAAGTACTTACAAAGTTCTCATTCTAAAGTAGAAATATCTGTGTCTTGTAAAAAAAAATGTTTGGCATTCCTCCTATAAGTATATTTCACATACCTTTTTCTACCTTGTATATCAGAAAATTACATACATTTCGAAAATTCTTTGTTTTACTTAATTATAATAAATTTCATAGTTATGGGTCCAAAATAGCAAAATCTAAATACAGTCATGCCTTTCTCCTGGTATATCACAGTCCTTGTTGATTTACTTCATCCATAATATTTTTCTTAGATAGTGTTATCTTACTGAAAAAATGTTGGTATATTACCCATAGCACTAGTTAGACGAGTGGTTTTATATTCTATCATTTCAATTATATTTACTCATCATATAAAAAAAATGAACGAACTCGGTCGAAAAGGTTCGATTTGGACTTTATTTTGAGTATCTTGGAGGTATATAATCTTGGTAAAGTATATATACTTCTCATATAAGTAGAAAAATTAACTTCACTCGAAAATAATTTTAGAACCTCCTTAATAAAAAATCGGAAAAAATTAACGGTTTTGTTGGAGATGTACAGTTTTTACATTTTTTTCGAACATTTTTGAACAAATTAAAAATTCGGGTGCGTTCCGGTTGCGTAGACCTGATTGTCGTGGGAACCTTACGGCTGTATAGGGCTTAATGTTTAAACCTTGAATGTATATTTTTTTGTACCGAGCACGAGTATTGGAAACAGCTTCCACAATTTCTGAACGTGCACTAGTGTGAGCTTTCGCATCTTATTATTGTTATTTTGACAGAGGGTTTGGCAGTTATACATACATTCTAAAACAAAAACCTTACAGAGAGGGATATTGTTAAAGCTTAGAACGGTTATTACGGGTAGTTTTCACTTTATGTTATTGGTAACAAAAAAACAATAAAATATAAATAGAAAAATTCAATGTTAAAAATGAGCTGGCACTGCTAAGTATACTAGAAACTAATTTACATATACCTATGTTGCAACCATTTCACGTATTTGAATATATTACAGAAAAGGTGAAATAGTGACATCCGTCACGAATTTTTCTATGTTGAAAAAACTTTGCCTAGCCCTTTAGTATTTCCAGCAAGAGTTGATAGCGTGATTAAGTGTCAACCTAATCAGCAAGTATTTACTATTTTGTATTTGTTCGATCATTTATCATAATTGAAATAAAACTTAGATTAGCGCCGCACACATTCTGTTTAATATTCGATTTGTAAAAAAACTCTTGTTATAATTGTATCTCAATTTTCATTCTACATATTTTTTTCCTTTCTTATATATTACCAGCACCACCATTCTTTATACATCGGATGGGTTAAGAAGTTATTTCACATGCGGCTTCAACTTACTACATCCACACTCAGAATTCGAATTTATTAATATCCATTATTTTGCAATTAGAGTGGTGGTCGAATCAAAGTTTTAGAAGTTCCAAGAGTCTTGATACAACATATACATTAGGGTGGAGCGAAATTTTTTTTTTGTTTGCTTAGGAGGGTAAAATTTTAGATTATAAAAAAAGAAAATTTTTGGAAAACAAAATTTTTGAAGTTGATAACTTTTAATTGGCCAGAAAAAGGACTCTCCACAGCTTCTAGAACACTTATCACAAATTTTAACTCTAAAAAAGTTTTAACTCGAAATTTACTTTAAAAGTGAGTGGGAAAAGAGATGTTAAAAAAATTTTTTTTTCCAAAAATTTCCTTTTTTTATAATCTACAAATTTTACCCTCATGCTAAGCAAAAAACCAAAATTATATTTTTTCGCTCCACCCTAATATACATTTATAAATTTTAGTTAATAATAGTTAAAAGAAACATACGGAGACATGGTAGATCCTTTCTCATTTCAGTCGAGTTTTCATATCCTGAATAGAGTATATTAAGCTTGCCATAAAGTTTGTAACACCCAGAAGAAAAGATGGCAGGTGCTATAATTTATATATATTATATGATCAGCGTGACGTAAAATCGAACTAATATCTCATTTTTCGAGATATCAATTTTGAATTTTGTGTACCTCCTTTACTCTAAACGGATATTGGACCACTATAGCATATAGCTGCCATACAACTCAACGATCAAATACATATCCTTGAAAGGAAAACTATTTTATCTGACGAAATATCTTCACAAAGTTTGGTGTAGATTATTAGACACCTCAAGGGTACAAACTCCAAAGAAATTGCTCAGATAGGACTACTATAGCATATAGCTGGCTTAATATCTTTAAATCTTTTAAAGGGTATCAACTTTTATGCTATAAGAAATCTACCTGTGATAGGAATTATAGCTTCAGCCGAAACTCAAATTTTTTCTTGGTCTATCCAAAACAACTTCAAAACAGATAGAAATTTAGGTCCTTTATTTCAAAAGCAGTGATAGAAAAGAAGTTCATAAATAATTTATACATAAAATATATTTAAAATTAAGTTCTATAATTCCATCAAAATAGTCGTCTTTTTTTTGAAAAAACATAATTCCCTTTTGCATTTGTTTACTTATACTAAAGAAATATTCACTCTTATTTAGTATGCGCTTAGACAATCAATTACATTAAATAAGTAAAACATCAAAAGTTCATTTCAAGTTTCGCGATTAGTTTTGTGGACAATAACACAAACAACAAACAAACAAGAATTATTGGTTTCTTTGAATCGCCGTGATGTCTAAGTAATTAATTCCTTTTACGTATTAACCGTAAATAATCAAACACTAGCACTTACAAATTATATTGAGGAAGCTTCGCAAAACTTAAGATCGTGAATTTGCAGCATCCAAATCGTGTGAATCGTTACTGTCACTGCCCTCAGACCGGCAAGGCAACAATGATGGTGTTTTCGAGGTGTCTTTGTATATATATTAACATATATATGTATTTCTAATGTTTATTAAAATTAATGGTGCATTATGCATACACTATTGTATGCATGTCTACTTGACTATAAACATACATATCTAGCTTATATATAAATTATGCTATATTTTGATTGTACGAGTAGATTTTAGAAAGGCCAAAACATTTGAAAACTTATAGTATTGATAATTACTCGTATAGTTTAGCTTTTGCACTACTGCCTACTCCGATGAATTGCATGAAGTTCGGACAAAGGAATTCCGGGAAACGAAATAGCTGAAGAGATTGCCAAAATGCCATCTGTCCGGCTACCAAACTATTATAGAAAACATGTATATAAGTCGCTAAAAATAGTATATAATGAAATTTCCGAAAAGGCTGACAGACGGTTCAACGTGAGATGGAATGCCCTAAGGACATGTAGGATTGACAAAACGATGTGCAAGAGCCCCGAAGAAAAACCCTCATTCTTTTTGCTCACACGGTCTTCAAAGGACTGCAGGATGGTTGTTGACAGGTCACAACCTACCGGCACACATGCGAGTCGCGAATGCAGGAAATGCAGAGAAGTAGACAAGAGAGACACTGTAACACATTCTGTGCTTCTGTCCTGCATTATTTAGAACTCGCCCTAGAATCTAAGAACTTCGCAGTTCTAGGGATTAGTTGAAGTATCAAAATTAGATATCAAGTCGCTCTTGAAATTTGCAAAAAGCGTTGACGTCCTGTATGACGAATACTGCAGTTGAAATTAAAATGAACCTCCATGTGGCATTACTATGGTAATAATCGGTAGGGATAGCCGGTCAGGATAACCTAACCTAGCTTAAGGCATGTGAGCTTGTTATTATGTACAACAAATATATATGTACTTTTGATATCTTGGAGTGTCAGATATTTGGATTATCCACATTCTAAGGTTTAGGTGTCCACCATTTTTGTAAAATTTGCCATGTTTTTCGTAATACTATACATTTTATTTGCAATAAAGAAAGGTTTTAAATTATATAAAAAAAATTCTAACAAACACTTTAAATTTTATATTTTATTGGAATAAAAGTCGAAGAACAAGATATACTTTTGTAGATAGAATGTTTACTCGTTTTATACATAAATACAGCCGATTCTCATACAGATTTGAACTCCTCGTAATGAAGTATTGCCTCTATGGTAAAAAAAATGTGTGTGTGTAATTATGAGACGTACGTAAACAAAATCTATTTGATTATGCCAGTTCGATTCGCCACTTTCATGTTTGAGTGAAGTGATTATTAATAAAAAATAATATGAAATACACAACAGTTTCAAAAGTATCAACATACTGATCTAGCATTTGAATTTAGTAATATTTAAAAAAATATGTAAGTGGTTGTTTTTGGGATTAAAGTACATTTTTATACCCTGAACAGAGTATGTTAAGTTTGCCACATAGTTTGTAATACCCAGAAGGAATCGTCGGAGACCCAATAAAAATATATATAAGTGATCAGCATGATGAGCTAAGCCGATTTAGCCATGTACGTCTGTCTGTATACGACCTAGTCCCCCTTGAGATATCGATCTTAAATTTGGCACATGATCGTTTCTCACCAAGTAGCTGCTCATTTGTCGGAATGGACCGATACCGGACCACTATAGCATATAGCTGCCATACAAACTGAACTATCCGAATCAAGTGCTTGCAAGGAAAAATTTTTCATTTAACGAGATATCTTCACGAATTTCGGAACGGATCAAATTCTTAGAATCGTCGTCTCCTAGTAGTCACCATTCTATATTGTATAAAATTGTCAATATAAAATTTTTAATGCACTCAAATGTTAAGTACATAGAATGTGTAATAAAGCTTAATAGAGAAATTCCATACCGTTTTAGGCCTTTTTTCAGAATCTAGCCCCTAAATGTAATCCGGAAACTATTTTTTCAGCAAAAGCATTAAACCACATTATTATTAAAATTATTATATTATTCTATTATTTCGAAAATACAATTTAAATTAATCTTATATTTCTTTTAGAATTAAGAATTTTTATATAATTTTTCTATTTGATTATTCTTAAAGCAGGAAAAATATATTGTATATATCTTGTATCGATGTAGTTATTTTACAAAGAAAAATTTCTCAAAATCGAGTTTGTCTACTTATGCCTTTTTAATGAAAAGTACGTACTTGTATATACATTTGCATGTGTAGATCACAAAAATTAACTGTAATTTTGTTTAGTCTGCTTTTCATGCCTTTTATAAATAGGGGAGTTGCATCCAACTAATTTGCGTAGATATATTTATTTGCAAGGAAGTATATTTCTATATATGTATGTAGTTTATACGGTTATTAGATGCCTACTTAAATATAACGCTCATGTGTTCATACATACATAAATACCATACATACATATGTGATAATACAATTGTTATTAATTTGCCGGTGTTCCACACAATGAGTAGCTTATATGTACTATATCACTGTATAGTCTATGCCTATTCTGCATGTCTCTAAATTAGGCAGCGCCAAAAGTTAATACATACATCCATTTATTTGTGTGGATCTGAGCCAGCGACTGCATTGAAAGAGAGTGATGAAAAATCACTGTTTGTATTGTCGTATGATTGCTACAGCAAATCACATATGTATGTATGTGTGTTTGTGGCTAAACGTCGCCGTCAGCGCTGACTGTGACAGTGAATGTGCCGGCGTTTGTTTTTTCACTAAAAGTTAACTTTTTATTTATACCTTGTTTATTATTTAGCGTTTATGTTGTTGCATGTGTGCCATACGTTCTGCTTTATTCAATAAACGCGTAATAATAAAACGGAATTGTGAAAAAGAAAGCCCCAACAAAGCTTAGGTGGGGAGGAAGTGAATATAACAGTGCGAAGCGCTGCAGTTGAGCGGGTAAAACGGTGTAACTAATGTATAGAAATATATTCATACATACATATATAAAGAATATATACATATATAATATGTACAAATATACATCGAATTGTAGCAAAACACACGGCAGCGGCGCGTCGCGTCGTTGACAGCAAGCAAAGTCGCTGTTTGTGTGTGACACCAGCGCCGCTTAGCGCTTTAACTACTCGCTGCGGTGCCCGGTTCTCGCCATATCGCCATAGACATCAAACGGGTATAGACGAACAAAAGCTTAAGCAGTGAAAACGGTACTCAGTTCTAAAACTAAAAACACTAAGTGCTGAACAGGTAGTGCATTTGTTATGAAATATTCCAGAAAATTAATATTTAATAAGCGGTTTTAATAATTATCGCCCATAAATGCTATGAGTTATTATTGTGCTAGTCGATTGCTAAATTGAAAAGCAAACAGCAACGTTTATATAGTTGTGTGAAATTTTTAAATTGTGTTTTAAACAATTTTTATTTTATTTTCATATAATATTGGCAACGTTTGTGGGGTTGTGTATGAAAAGTGTTGACAAATAAGAAATCACAAACCATGAAGTTCCTTATCGGATTACTTGTTGCATCTTTAGCTGTGGGCGGTGTGCTCTGTGTGCCGGGTGAGTAATAATGACTCCTAAAAAATATTTTTAAAAACTCTGGCGTTCATACTTATATCATGATAGGAGTATAATTTTATATGCACTTATTATATATTTATATATACATATAAATATAAAACTAAAAATATACCTTTAATTATTTCTTATATAATGAACTACGTAGCATTTTTTGTTTTGTTTAATTTATGCAATATCACAGCATTTAATAAAAAGGTGACATGACATGAGTAGAATATGGTGAAATGCTTTTTGTTTTATTATTAGTAATTAATTTAATTCATGAAAAAGCCTAGGAAAGTATATAACAAGCTCCTTAAACAAAGTTCAAACTACCATATATTTTGCATTAACTAAATATTGTAGATATCAAGAAAAAAAGAAAAACATTTACTTCGCATGGACCGAAGCTAAATACCCTTTACAGGTGTATTCCTTATAGCAACTATTTTTTTAGGTATGTTTTTTTGTTATAAGCAATTCTCCAGTCGAATAAAGGTTACTTAATAAGAAAAAAAATCATTTAAGAAGATCTTTTTTGTGATTTTGAGCGGTCAGTTTGTATGGCAGCTATGTGCTATAGTTGTCTGATCTGAACAATATATTCCGAGTTTGTAGTGTTGCTAAATCTCGTGAATATATCCTCTCAAATGAAAAAGTCTTCCATACAAGGACTTGGTGTTGATGGATCAGTTTATATGGCAGCTATATGCTATAGTGGTCCGATAACGGCGATTTCAAAAAATAAGCAGCTCTTTGAGGAGAAAAGAATGTGTGCAAAATTTCACGGTCATACCTCAAAAACTAAGCGAATTTTTCACGTATATATAGACGGACAGACAGACGAACAAGGCTATATCAACTCAACTAGTCGCACTGATCATTTATATAAGTATATAAGTAGTTTGAAGAATCTCCAATGTTTCCCTCTGGGTGTTATAAACTTCGTCGCAAACCCCAATGTGCCCTGTTCAGGGTATAATAAGTAATACTGAATATTAATTAATATAAACAGAGATTATTACAGTAGTTTTCATTGATCGAAAATAATTGATCGTAAAATTATTATGGATTCATTTTATGACTACAAAGTGACAATGGGCATAAATATGACAATGAGGCTGGTAATTAGTGATAATGGTATACGTTTGGCAATAGAATAGAATATTGCATACAACAAATTTAATATACTCAGTGCAAAAAAAAAAATAGTTTGTGGCAATAATATTACATTTTAATAAGACTTTCTTGGACGTTTCACATTTGGCTCACACATTTTAATATTTCCACATTAGTTAAAAAAATAAAAAAAATTCAATATGTGGAAACTCTGTTTCGGCTGTACAAGTATATCGAAAATTTAATTTACTAGCAAAAATAAAAATAGTTTGTGATAACAAAATTAAATTCTAACTAGATTTTCTTAAAGACTTGACGATTGCCACCGATTTTTTAACATTTTCAGTTTTAAAATTTTCATTAGGTGGCAAGTCTGTGCCAAAATATGTTAAATATCAATAATTCCACACTATTTTTGAAACTTTTGTTGTATACTCTTTTACTTGCTTTTGAAAATGCTAATATTAGTTCCTCAGAGACCATATATAGATATATGTTCCCGCATAACGTTTGAGATACCAAAGTAACGAACAAAAGACAATATTTTGTTTTAGAAGGTTATTATGGTGCTAAACTTTAGTTTTTGTGCCTTACAAACCATATTCAGATTAAAAATAATTATTGTGTTTTAATATTAGTTTTCGAAATTTGTTCGTCTATAAATAACTTAGAAAGTAATAGATAGATATTTTACTCATTGATTATAGGTTCTAGAAAGATATTGCACATACAAAGAATACTAGTTTTTTCTTAGGAAGTTTAAGGAGACACTTACATTAATGCTTATCAGCAGAATTTGAAGAGGTCGCATGGTGTCCATTCCAAACGTTTACGTTAATCCAGTGGTTCTGCACTATACGATGAGTTAGTTTAACGGCCACAAAAGCTTTAAAAACTTCAGCATGCTCTGTCTTACAAGTCATTCAGTAATCCTGTAGATATTTATTATACTCGTACACAGCTTAGCAGAGAAATTATGTTAGAGCGATCAATCAACTTAATTTCTCTGAGAGAAATCTGACTGACATGTATCGGAATAATAACTTATCTCAAGATATATATTTAAGAAACATGTTTTCTCTTGGAATGGTCGACATATTCATAAGTCTGGCCGTTTTGTAAAAAAATAATAGAAACAGTGTTTATGGCATTTTTGTTCCAATTCTTTTGAATTAAGTTTGACAGAAGTACATATAAATTAGTTAATGACGACATGTGCGAACTGAAGTGAAGGCTTCGTTTGCTTGAAAGTTTGACAGTTCCTTACGTTTATGGCAAACTAAGAATGCTCATGTCTCTATCATTCTGTGTTATTCTACAAATGGAAGATGCAGCAAGTTCAAAGCCATATCTAGATTGATATATCTGAAGCTTTTTTTAACTTGCAACACAGATATTTGACATTTCAAATATCCTGTCGAGAGAAGAATTTTGAGTAATGTTGGATGGTCAAGAGTAGCGATCGCCCTTAATTGCATTACCCTGAGCCGGCTAATCACGGTAAGGTTTAAAGGCCCGAAAATAAGTCGGTTTAAAACTTCGCTGTCATTACTTTCATCTCATAAACTGAATGTTAAATCAAAAATACACATGTAACTACTGAAAAATCTCGTAATTTAAAGAAGAAATTCTGCAACTTCCGACATACTTAAATTACATAACATTTTATGCAGAAAAGTATTACATAACTGCACTCGAAATATTAAAATCAGCTTACTATGGACATATTTTTTTGTTGAATATTATTCAATACTTTCTGCCAAATGGCAGAAAAAAAAACAACAACATTAAGCCGTGGCTAAAATCAATAACTTGAAAAAATATTTTCATATTATCATACATCAGTAAAAACATAAACAATAAAATATTACGAGGAGTACCTGTGTAATAGCAACAGGGACAGGGTAAAAACAAATAATAATACGACAGCAACAACCTCAACAATCCAACATTGCCATCGATATTCACATTTCCATTTCCATTTGCATTCACACTCGCATTCGTATTCATATTCGCTTTTTGCATTTGCATTTTCAGTGGCGAACTCCTGATTACATATCCCCGCACCCTGTGATGAAGTCGGCAAGCGCTTTGATGCGTTGACTGATGCAGCGATTTACGGTGAATAAATGAACGAGAAATCACCGGAAATTTCAAGTGTGCAATTTCGAATACATATATTCTTTTTTTCGTACATTGATTTTTCATACAAACGGCACTAGTACTTACCCAGTACTTATCAGTATTTTCGTACTGTATAGTACTTGTAATGAAGTATCTCATTTGCAGTGCACTACAACATTTGGATTTCAATGATGGCAAACTGTGCAAATGATTTCCACTAGATGGAATTTTTAAATTCATAATGTTGTTGTCTTTTTCTATTGCATTTAAGCATTTATTGATTTTTTTCGCACAATACTCGCAAGAGATTAAACATTGATGCACTTGTGGACTTATGTCGGTATTATAGAAATATAATAGTGCCACTCAAGCGTTGCTTCCGTGTTTAATATTTCCATACGTTTATATTCTTATATTTTTAATAAAACGACTTTGTTTGTTTTTAACTAGAAATTAGAGTCACTTTGCATAATTAAGTTCATAGGTTGGTCTTAAATAATTTCACAGAATTCAAAATAGAAAAGATTTTAAGTATATGTACTAGATTTAGTTTATAGGTTAGGTTAGTTTGATATGCTCGTCAGCCACTCATAAACCAGTTTTGGTTCTTAGCGATTCCAGATGGAGTGCCAACTTTTTGACAAAACTCTAACTTATTATATATCGAGTTCGTTTCGCTGATAATACTAATTGTCTAAATTTTCGATACCATTTTTAGATCGATTTGTGTTTTGTTTTAAAATATGAGTATCTCAAAAAAAAAGTAATTGAATCCCAGATCCGTAAATTACGTTGGATTACACTTCCTCCAATTCGAAGTTCATTTCGATTTGTCGATATCCGGTTCTGTTTGATGTTCAGTAGTTCATTGTCTTCGGGGGTTTCAGATATTTTGCAGGTTAGGTCCAACTACAATATAAAACATATGAATTAAGGTTTAGTGGCCCCTATTACAGAAATGTTACTTTCGAGCCTGTCTGCAATGTTATTGAACTGATTCTAAAAAGTTCTTCTCGTGTTGATGCATTTTTTAATAATGGGGCTAGAGATGTTCTTTAGTTTTTAGTGTTTATAACGATGTAACTTACTTGCGGCCATCTCATGATCTTATAGGCAAAGTTGATATTTTTTTCTCCACACATTTCCATCACTACCCTCAAAGCAGGGAATGCATATCCTCATTAGCAGTAGTATCAAGCTGCGTCCATACTAAGCTTGCAAGAAAAGGCACCTTTACTCGAATTACATTAGGATGGGAATGAAGAGGAGTTCCCCTGTCTTCGTGCATTCAGGCGCTGGATTTATGAACCTCACGGCAGCTTAGTAGGCGGTGGTCAGCAACCAGCACTTGTGGGGTTGCTAAAGCCTTCTGGCGCAAAGTGGATTATAAAAGGTCCATGGAACTACTAGCAAGGTTCACATGGTTGCAATGTTAGGTGTCCTAACTGGCCTTGGAGGTGGCGAATAGGCTGAAATTAATATTAGCCACCTCTAGGCGTTTTGTCCATACGACGGTCGTTTTGATCCATCCCTAGGAGTTCTGGGCATCACAACGGCCAAGCGTCTCTCAATGGTCAAGCGAGATTATTCATAGCCTTATGAAAAATCAATCTATTTACCTATATTAACCCTCCCAGCAATCACTTTTTAACGGAAAATTTAGGGTAATCGGAGTTTCTCTCAACATCTCTGTTACTGCTAAGAAGAGTTTTATTTTACTAGTAGACATAACTCATTTTTGGTGACGCTCTTTCTCA